CTGTGGAGTCCTTGGTGCTCTCTGAACTTGGTTGTTTGCTTGCAGACATTTCATTACCTGAATACCTAGATGTCTGCAAGCAAACAACCAAGATCAGAGAGCACCAAGGACTCCACAATAAATCTGAAAATCAGATTATAAGATAGATGATTGTACAGAATCAAAAAAGAGTAGAACTAGAAACCAAATTCCCTTGAAATACAGTATAGAAGAATCCCTAGGTAAATATGAGAAAGAAAGAGAAAGCATGTTAAGGCTCACAAGGGATCATCTTTTTCCACTCCTGCTGGAAGACAGAGCATTGCTGTGATCATTCTCCTAAATGTAAATATTTGAAGTCTACTTCATATTCCATAGTATTAAGGAGAACACTCTGTAACTTCCCAAGGACATCCCTTTTTTTTTTTTTTCAAATTTACATTTCAGGCAAATTGGCAATGGAGGAAGTCCTTTGATTGCTCGTTTCTCCTGTCCTGAATCCTACCTTCTTTCACATTGTGGTTGAGTTCACACATCACATTAACCTATAATATGGCTTGTTTTAGCTTGGTGCATAGCACAAACCAAATTATTGATGTTTATAAACAATGATTTGTGGTGTTGCATGATGCATGAACCCAGGCATTATGCTTCATTCAGTAATTCAAGGTTAAATAAACCATATCTTAGTGTAATAAATAAACCTATCTATTTTAGACTATAAGCTTCTTGGAATAAAAAATCATCTGCTTGTAAAACTCTGCAAAGTACAATCATTGCTCAAGTGGCAGTTTTTGTCAGAGGATAACCAGATTCCATTTAAAGTCAGTGGTCACAGAAATAACCAGGCCCAAAGACATGAAGGGTTTTGTAGGTTAAAAGCAGGATCTTGCATAACACCAACAAACAATCCAGCATTTCTTGTATAATATGACAACATTGTATTCTTGTTAGCATGCAGGAAGTTGCACTTTGTGGCAGCTGCAGTTTCTGGGCAGTCATGCAGATAAATTAGAGTCATCCAAGGATGAGATGGTAAGACCATGAGTGTCCATTGTTAGTGCTTTCTGTTTCAGGAAAGGTCATAAGTGATGTTGGGAGCTTGTCAAAGGCTCTCTTGGCTACAGCTTCCACCTGCTATTTCAGCAGAAGCTGTGAGTCCATGAGGAGCCCAGCTCTTTCTGGAGAATAACAGCCCATCTACAGCTGTTGATACTGTCCTGGACTATTGGCTTCTGAATGTGAGCAATCAGTGCCCTTTTCAACCCATACCCAGGCATGAACCTTGATAGGAAGCTTATTTGAGAGTATTTTGTAACTGCTGCCCTGCCACCTTCTCAACTACTTTTCCTCAAAATGAAAGTCTGGAGACTAGATGATAGTTGTCCAATATAGTTGGGTCCAAGGCCAGTCGCTTAACACTGATGTCTCCTTTTCATAGGATGTGTTCAAGCAAAGGCTTATCTATCTGTCTTGGATGCTTTACTTGGGACTCCTGTAGTGACCAGGGACCTATGGCCTAAAGGGCCTACTGTATGATCAAATGATTCTATAAAACAGTTGCTAACCAGCAACCACAGAACACAGTATGGTGATACAGACAGATGGAACTAAGCCCTGAAACAGACATAGCTATCAGTTCTGCCCTTCTGTCTATTCTGTCAACATTGTTACAGGATCTCTGAGTGGATGCAAGTGATTTTATCTGCAAAGTATACATCACAGCAGCCCATTATTTGTTCTTCTGGCCCATCTTCATGAGTTGCCGTTATCTTAGCCTCCAATCTCATTTTCCAGGGGGGTTATGTACTGCTGTTCTTCTTGATCATGTAGCCAAGCATTTCCAGGATTACAGTGGCTATAGCATATACCAATTCATTGGTTTCAGTTATGGTGGTAGTAGGGATTGACTGGAGGGCTCTATTGGTATCTTCTAGCATACTATCTGATGATACTTTTCCACTGAACCTTGGTAACCAGTCTTGAGGGTTGACTGTAGCTAGTTTATCCATGATCTTATGCCTCATATCAGCTGCTGTGCTCTGTAATGGAGGGGGTAGCAGTGACATTCCA